CCCCCCCCCCCCCCCCCCCCTTCCTTCTGGTCCACTCCGCCAGCCCAGTGACTCGGGTTTACTGGTAGCTACACCTCTCTGTCTTCGAGCTGCCGCCGGGGGGAAGTTCATTTTTCCTGTCAAACTCTACTACCTCAGCTGGCGCCTATAGGTCGCGCTGTCTGTCTCGTGGCTGACTGCGTTCTAACTCCAAGCTTCCAAAGCTCTTCGTGTACTTTCACACTACGACAGAGGATTGCAGGTTGTTTCCCCCCACAGTTTTAGGTTATCACTCAGGCACTTTTAATAGGACACAAACATTCACAGGAGCAGCTGATTTACAAACACACCAGGTCTAAATATGAGGTTTGTTAGTTCTTAACAGATAAATTAAATGAATGTTTTGTCCTATTGAACGCGCCCGGTGTTGAGCAACATTCCCACTCGCCTCCTGTGTTGTACAACTTGATACATTCGCCTCTTTACATTCTCTTGGCCAATATTTAAATCTGTTTTCTTTTTCCTGCCTTGTTACACTCAAATATTTTCAAATATGTCTTTTTTTTTTTTTTTACCTTTTTTGTTACAGAGCTTTTCTTTGGCTCATAAAAAAAAAAAGTCAGTCTTTGCTGCTGTTACTGTACAATACATTAGTTACCTCGTGTGTATATATATATTTTGGGCTCATCTCGCTAAGGAACATTGTGCTAAAATGTTCCATCAAATAGTCACAATGAAACGGTTCTTAATATGATACTCTACTTGAATTCTGACACATTTGTTTTCCTCATGAGTAAATTACAACATGAGAATGTGTTCTCATCGTTTTGAGGGTCGTACACAGATGATGCATTCTCTGCATGCGGTTTGTGTAGCATTCACGTGCTTCGTAAAGCTACAGTACCTTCAATATATGTGACCTGCACCACTTACATTGAGGTGAAGTTATATCATCCGTCAGCAGAGTTGGTGAAATATATTTATTGATTCATACGAGGGGACTCGTTTTAAACTCGTTTAAACCGGTTTTATTTTGAATTCCCGTCCGTTACTGAGCACTGGGGCTAATCTCATGACACATACGGCCTATACTGGGAGAGAGACTTTATATTAATCTATATTCATTAACCTCATTCCAGCACATATTTATGCAATATGATGTGAATATATTTTTCTTGTGAAAATGTTTTTTGGGGTTATTGTGTGACCTACCATCAGTGGTATGAAATTGTTTTAATGTTTAAATTAGAGGCCGTGTCTGGATATCCCTTGTTTAATGTCCTGCCTGTACGGTTTACTTCCAGCTTTTCTCGACTCCACTGCTCCACATGCAAACATTTACAGTGTCAATAAGCAGTTTCTGAAATATTCTTCAAGGAATACCAGAGACAAGGACAAGTCCCGGTTCTGTTTGAGTCACTCCTAGACGAGAGTCCATCTGCTGTTTGTCGCGTCAAATGAAAAGAAAGGAGGGTTTTGTTTTGTTTTGGTTACATCCTCGGAGGCTTTTCTAGGAGTGCATCAAACCTCTATGCAACAGATGTTATTTATTCAAAGGATATTAATTTACTTTTCACTGAAACTATGCAGAATGCGACTTTAATTTAAACGGACTTCAATGCAAAGAGTTTCGCTTCTCAGGCAATTTAACTCAGTGAGAGGGCTCCGAGCCTATGGCGACACCCTGGTCCATAAGAATCGCATCAAACGATGTGATAGCAACCACTTGTGTGACTTTCCCCCAGAGACGCTTTGTTTTTAGATGTGTTTTCTCTTCCTAGTTCAGCACAGGGTCTCTCACTGCCATCCTATTCATGACATCCTGTAACGAGGGCGGATCAGTGTTCTCGACAGAGGCTTCAGGGGTCCTTTATTTCTCTCTTCTCTCAGACTACGAATACTGGGTATTCTCAGAGGTTGCTCTTTGAAATTGCTGTGATCACCTTTTGTCCTCCAGTGGACCAATGTGACAGAAAAACTGCGGCGCCTTTGGTCTTGACGTACTATTGCAAAAGGAAAGTCCTCTGAGCTCTGAAGTGATGCTGGTCTTTTACGAGCAGCACCTTCGGTGCATAGGTTAGGTAAGCACTGCATGTCGTGAAACTGCACTCGTCCTAGAATGGTTCAATACGAGCTTGTGTTCTACTGTTAGTTTATGCCTGCCTGTTTTTTACAGTTTAATCAAAAGACAAAAAAATTTAAAAAGAGAAAAGAAAATTGGCCTTTTCTATTTGAATTCTATCAGGATTTCCTCTCAATGTCCATGTTTACAAAACAAATCTCTCTGATCAAGGCCAAATGAATGAGCTAAACTGCTAATGAGAACATTCATGCTTGCTGCGATATCAATGCATTGTGTAGGAGGATGGCCTCCCCAAGGTGCCGTCCTCTGTTACTGGGTGAACAGATGTACAGACCGTGATGAAACCTGGTAAAGAATGTGCAAATAAACGTTGACTTTACTACAGTGGCAGTGTCCCGAGTCACTTCCCTCCCTCCTGTGTTTTATACACACAAGTACACATTTCTAACTGTGAGGTCTTCTTTTCAAATGTCGGGTGTGTTCTTTATACCTCTGTTCCACTGGATTAAAAATGAATACAGAAATATTTTTAGCAAATAATAGCCATACAAATGTAAAAACGTTTAAGAAACTGAACACCTCATTGTGAAACGAAGCGCTTAGTATTGTTGAAAATTAAAAGCCACGGATTTTACAGCATTCAAATACTTATTTTTACTTTCAATTTCACTGATGGACATTTTGACGTGTCAAGTAATGCAATTTAAAAAAAAAACAGGGTTCATAAATTAAAGTCCTTACTATTTTTTTATTTAATAAATAAGTAATTTTGGTGTCAGGTACATGATCTTATAAAAGTTTTAAGCTACTTGATTTGTTTTTTACTTGAATATTGAGATCAGAATGCGGCTAATTGATTTAAACGACTATGTACTTTTGAGTTTTGTATAGTTTCACTTTCTATCTGAATTTGTGAAACCTAAAAACGTCATTTTAAATTCAAACCGCATGAATTCATGTAAAGTTCATACTTCATTCCTATCTACTCGGTGGCATTTCAATCTCAGTAGTGGTTGCATGTTGGTACTTATTCAGTTGCTTATAAAACACTCATGATGTATATTATTGGCTTCCATAGATTTATACCACCGTGTTTACCAGTTATACTTCCTAGTCACTGTAGAGATCAAGTACTGACGTTCAATCATATGTATACATAAACTACATAGTGTGTAAAGGAGTTACATTAGCTCCCCCATAACAGCTGCAGCACTTCAATTATTGTATATTAATGCACCAGTGACAAACTATTGTACATTCTTTACTCTGTTGCTACTTTCACTTTAGTAAAAGTCGACCTCAAAACCCTAAATCACTATAAATGCCACTTAAGAGAAAAAAACTCAAATGCAACTAAAGAAACAGCACACAAGTTGGATAATAGTTTATATTATATATATAATATATATATATATTATATTGTGTTTACTTAACAAACATGATAAATGCAATGTCTCCAAGTTAGCTGTAACAATAAAAATACAATATCTTTGTGTCCTTAAAGTACATAGAATTAAAACAGCAAAACGAAAAAAAAAAACAGAAAACCACCCTAAGTAGTTCACAGAGAGGTACAAATATACAGTACAAATCTATTTTATTCAAAACCAGTACAAATAAAAACGCAACAAAATAGAGATATTAATGCTTTGTTAAAGTCAGGTAGGTGTGGGGTATTTCTAAGGGAGCACTTTCGGTCGACAACTAAGGCTTCTGATAAAGATCAATACATATTGGTACGGCCATACGATATTAAAACTCACTATACAAAGTTCATACAACCTGGATTATACTTGAGGATTGAATGTTACGTTTACATCGTTGCATATATTTTGCAGATTTAGGCATTAAAAAAAAAAGGCTGTTTTTTTTGTGTTTGTTTTTCAATAGTTGCGCGTCACATGAAAAGCAGCGTCACCTTGTGGCAATGAAAGTATGTCAAATCTGAAAATACAGACTTCTTTAAAACTTTGAACCGTTTTCATTCTCCTGATTTAACTGGACGTCAGTGACACCAAAATCATCTAAATTCACCTTTTGCAGTTCAATGCGAGATCAAACAGGAAGTAGTTCACACGGGGAGTAGAAACCCCCACTGCCAACATCACAAAACATAATAAACCATTACATTACCACCAGTGGAAAGCTATCTGATTAACGCAGCCCGTCTGTCTCCATTTATTCACCTAGATTCAGCTGTCCAGAGACTGTGAGACTAAGCACAGGACACCAAACACGCTCCATTAATTCTAGGGGATAAAAAACTACTGATCTTGTGCAACAATAAAAAAAAAAAAAGTGTGTGTGTTTGTATGGAAATAATGGATTGCCCCCGTTGCAGACACTCTTCTCATAGTCTTGATAAGAGTGCAGAAAAGTGTTTTCCATTTACTCCACTTGCGCACAATGAAAAAACAGGAATTAAAAAGGCAAGTATGACAGAAAAAGAGTGTTAAATATGTAACGGAATAGTTCATGAGAAAAGAAAAGAAAATACAAAACACCACACAAAGTTGCAGATCTCATGGTTGAAGCGTCTGGGGCCGGAGAGAATTCCCCGTCACCCCATTTGAGAAATATGAAGATGAATTTCTGCTCACAGGCGTGACAAGAGTGTCAAAGCTCAACGTTTGTGATTTGCTCTTGAACAGCCCGAGAAGGGAACACGAGTCCAACAGAAGCATTTCCATTGTTCCAACTTCACACATTGAACAAAGCAGAGTTTAAGGCATTATCAACAAGCATCATCAAGGCTATCTATACAAAAAAAAAAAAAAAAAAAAGAATACAGCTATCTACAGAAACACACACCCATGATTCTGTGTGCTTTACATTTTGGAACTCTTCAATTTACCAACAGTTCTAAGCTCAAAACACTGTAAAAAGGAGGGAATTTAGTGCAATTACTTACAGCAACAGACTATCAGTGATGTGAATAAAATTCATCGGACATCTTGGTAGTAGAAGTCGAGCATCCCTGCTTAACATGGCACACACACGCGCTGCTCAAAGCAGGAACCAAAACAAAACACAAGGCTCATGGCAGTGCAGTCTCGCTGTGAGAGTCAACAGGAGGTCGAGTCTCAGGTGGCACCGCTCGCACCATTTAAATCTCGTCAAACGCATCTCGACTTAAGATGCGATCGTGCCAAAAAATAATGCTGGACAAACGCATGAAAGTTGAAGCGATACTCGTCTTCGAGTAGTTTGGCTCCGACCGTGTGGCAACGCGAGAAGATAAAAGTCGAGTCAGCGGTGTGCTATACCAGGGAAAATGGGGACAGCCGAGCAACACAAATAGAAAATAGCAAAGCAGAAATACTGGTTTGTATTCTTATAAAAAGGTCATTCAAAGCCAAAAAAGAAAACCCTATAAGCAGTGTAAACGGACTGCATCATCCCAACCTGCTTCAGAGAGCTCTACTTAAGACGATGAAGGGTACAACAGAGGTTACTGCATAGAAAATGCCAACACTACATGAAATGTGTTCAGGAATTATGTATATTGCTTACAGCATGAAACTAACTCGATGTTGGTGAACTTCTGAAGGTGAGATGTGTGTGTTTGAAAAATGAAAGCGAAGCACTTTAATAAAAAGGATCGGTTCACATTCTCAATTCTATCTCAATACAATACGAACTCCATTTGCACACTGAAAGAGTTATTAGTCGTCGTGATCATTCCTCCCCGTCCATAGCGGCCATGAAGAGAAACCTTGAAAAGCGTTAGGAAGGAGTCTTTGTCCAGCCAGTGTGGACAGGAGGGATGATTACAGCAACCCAATAACTCTTTATGGGCGTATGAGAATGACCTGTAAGAATATGAAGCGATCCTTTGAAGCTGCTCTTCATGACAGAACCAGAGGATACTCGTCCTCTCTGCTCACAGAGGTCCGGGCTGCGTCCTCCGAGGACAGATTTTAAACATTCCAGTGTCTGGGGGGGGCCGCTGGACAGCACCAGCACATTAGTCAGACACAAAAACCATGTACCGGATTCTTCTGTCTGAGCACGTCCAACGAGAGGAGATATAACAGGCAATGCAGGAAATATTCAAAACATATCAAATGTTTTGCCAGAGGTAAGTCCCAAGATCAATGACGGGAAAGAAAAGCTGTGTGCGATTAACACTTTGAAATTGGAATGTGTGCATGAGGAACGCCGTCTGATCATTAAACTCTAAATGATTTTATGTGTGGTCTAATTGCACTTATTTTAAATTTAACCCGTGTTGGGTTGTTTTTTTTTCTCAGTGACAAAGATATAAATCTGTCAGAAGGAGGAAACTGCAGCATTCATCTTGGCTAATTTGTAAACAGGGTTAAAAATGAAAGTCAGTTTTTTCTTTTTTTTTTATCTCTCTCACCGCAAAAACATAAACAATACTTCAAACATATTCCCTTCATAAAAAAAAAAAAACATCTACTGTACTGTGATTCCTATTAACAAGGTCAGTGTGAAATCAATGAGTGATATTTTCTATGTGCAAGACAATCATCAGATACTAAAGGATACAAAAGCAAAGGACTGGATACGTTCAGAACAGAAAGACAGAAGATAACGATCACAACGTAATTAGAGTCAAGCCTTTCTTGGAGATGCACTTGAGTAAAGACATAAAAACACTCCATCAGTGAGACGGAGAACCAAAAGAGAAGCAGTTTCATCTACAATGACTTCTTGAGGAATTTGTCACGCATTGCTTTGTGTAGAAATACTGAAGAGTAGATTGAAAATGAACACCAGGATAGTGCATCAAGGTCGGTGTTAAGAGAGGGTCAGATGTCCCGCCTCGGATGGACAGAAGGGGGGGGGGGGGGTGTACAGCCGCGTGCTGTCAAAAGAACTATTGCTTTACTTTGGTAAGTGAGCAAAGAGTAACTATGACAAAGATAAAAACCTCGTTGACTCACTACCCCTCCATTCTCCTCTGGTTTCAGGCTGAACAGGCCCGCAGCCAGTCATGTGACAGGGTGGTGTCTCATTCCCACAGGTGCCTCCTCCTCCGTTAATTACTTTGTTTAAAAAGTGCATTAAAAGTCACCCATCTGGTCTGGAAAGCTTAGAGGTATAGTGAGGAGGAGGGAGGGTGTCGCTCAGAATGTGAAGTGAGAAACAGTTAAAACACAGAGTGATGGATACTTTCACCGATGGTACTGGAATGCACGATATCTCTAGTTATCAAAGAGAATAAAGCATTAGTCAAAACACACTTACACGTTAAGGCCCTAAACAAGAGGGTATGAGCAGAGTTTTGTTTTGAGTGGACACTGATTGATGAACAGACATACTGATTGACTTATCACTATTTCGATTGTAAGACGAGTGCAACGTGCCACACTTGGCCTGAGAGAGGATCCCATTCATTGCAGAGCGGCCTTCTGAAAAGGGAGGAGGAGAGAGAGAGAGCGCATCTCTGCTGACAGCAGAGGTTTTAGACTCCTGCAGGAGAAGCATAATGTAACATACACTGACAAGTTAGCGTCAACAGTGCCGACATCAGCGCAGGAGCTGCCGATGTCAGCAACTCCTCTCGTTTTTTTTTGGGTAAATGCTTTTGAAGGAAACGGGATCTTAGGAATGGAGGAGAGAAAGGATCAATGGCTGGGATCTTTTTTTAAATAGATCAGAACCTGCAGAGTTGGTAGCTTCGCTGTGCTACAAACATTCCTCGTAAGTCCTCGGTCTTCCAGAGACGGTTTGGTCAAAAAGGAAGCAAGAGTGTTCTGAATGCGATGGTAACCTCCAAGCATGGGTTATGAGGAAGTGATGACAAAAAAGACGGAGGGAGGAAGAGGACTGCAGTGTGCAAGGACTGTGGGAGGCATTTCATCCGCTACATACTTTCTACTCAGCTTGTGATGTCTCTGCTGGACCTCAGCTGGCTGGGAAACCACAGGCGCGTATCCTTTGGCTGAGTGACAACCGGACCTTCTCACCAGAGACCTTGTATTGTATATTTTAGGTGTGCAAAATCTCAAACATTCTGAGGCTACATTCGCACTCTTTTTTTTCCCTCTTTCTCTCCTTGTCAGACTCACTCGTGGCAGTCTCCTCTATAGCTGCTACCAAATGTGATGCTACTTCCCTGCGTTAGAGCGCCCCTCAATGGACAGTTTGACCTCCTGGGGGATGAAAGAGGGCCTCGTGTGGCCGGTGGTGCTTATTTGAGGGCGTGGCCCCTCGTCTCCCTTCATACTGTATCTTTGGAGGCCAGGTGAGGACCAGCGCCTCTGAGACGCACCTAGCGCAGCCTGCATCGCTCCCATCCCTGCCCCTGCAAAAGCAGAGCCCTCTGTGTGCAAGTGGTAGCTGCTCTGGCTCCTCGGATGCTCTGCTGAGGTCCTACTTATTCTGATGGGCGACTCAGAGTGCCCGACAACCCCAAAATGTGTGGTTTCCTCCTTATCTACCACATCTTGTTCCCCATCCCTCTGTCTTTCTCTGTGAATGCGGTCTGGCCTGAAATGAGACGGAGGCCTTGATTGTTGGGGGGCCGGAGGGCCCATGAGCTGGTGACTTGATGTGGCGTTGGTTTTGCTCAAAGCCCTGGACAGGTTCTGCTGTTTCTGTTGCTGCTGTGAATGATGGTGCTGGGGCTGTTTCTGCTGCTGAAGCTGCTGCTGCAGGGTGATGGACACGCACACGTCTCCTACTTGCAGATGATGGCAGGCCAGGCCGTAAAGCTGGGCCGTGCGCTCGGGGTTGCAGGACGACCAGCCTTGCCCAAACACAAAAAACGGGTGCTCCGGGGGAACGTCGATGGTCACTTTGCTCTGCTGCTCCCCCACGGTGAAGTGAAGCGACACAAGACCCGGTCTCTGCTGGCTGGCACGGATGTCCACTACCATGCTGGAATCAATCTTGAGCCCCCCACTCACCTCGGCGCTCCGCACAAAGTCCTGAGTCTGGAGGTCCTCCACACGCTTCAGTTCCCCAGTAGCCAGCTGGATGATGGCTCCCTTCATGAAGTGTGACGGGTTGGAGGGAGCCGAGGCCGGAGCGAGGCTTTGCGCTAAGGCCTGAGCCACATCTGCTGCAGGCTGGACAGGAGGCTGCTGGGGCAGCTGCTGCTGAGCTGTGGTCAGCTCTGCCCTTTCAAGGAGGCACACTCTGGCTGAAGAATCGGAGGCTTTAAAGCTTGCGTTAGGGGAGGCCATGGTGGTAAACGCGTGGCTGGCTGAGGCATCATTAGCCTGTCCTAGGTAGTGTTGCTGTGGCGGTTGGGGGTGATGCTGCAGGTGATACTCCAAGGGTATAAGAACGGGTTGCCCGTTGGCAAGCATGACAGCATGGCCTGGTTGTCCCGCTTGCTGCTGGAGTCCGGTCACTCTGGGATCATTGTAACTCACAGCCTGGGTCGTGTACGCAGTCCGCCCGGAGATCACACCCGTGCCCTCTCCATGGACATCTCTGGCTCTCTGTGCACCCTGAGAGAGGTTCAAGGGGGCAAAGGAGACCTCTTTTCGCACTCCACCATGGGAAGCCAAACGACCAACCACTTGCTGCACCTAAAAGTGGATTAAGGGAATTTAGTGTTAAACAGACAACTTGTAATTTTGCTGAAACACACTTCATTTAAAACTTACAATAAGAAATTCAAATGTTTTTCCACAGCAGCAGACAGAATTATGGCATGCGAGTATGAAACATCTGTGTGGCTCAGTAAACCCTGATTTAACCGATTCATTGAGGTACCGAGGGCTTCAATGAGCATCTCCATGCAACCAAAAATAGCGTAGCTTTGGCACAAAGTAGCAATTGTGGCTGTGAGTGATTGCACAATTACATACAGACCCACAGCACAAAGCAGAGTCTGTTAATAATAATGTAAGCAACCGAAATTTCTATAAAAATGTACTCGTATCATTATGCAAAGAAAAGGTGTGAGATATTAGTAAAAACTAATTTCTCATTATGTTGAAGTATTCCCGTCTGTATAAATCTTATAAAAGATATTTTACTGCTTGATCAACATGAGGATTATTTTTAAAAGTGTTGCCTTTTGGTACATTTACATGCTTCTGTCACTGGTCTGCTGCTGAAAGTTGGAACTACGGGAACAGAGATTAACAGGAGTCATAAGTCACATTAGGAGTCGTTCGGTGCGTCTCACCTCCAGGTCGATGTCTGGAGTGCTGCGCTGGCCAGGTGAGCTTCTGTCTTCCAGCCTTCGGTTCAGCGAGCCTCTGTCTTGGCTGTACTCCTGGGCTACAAAGTTGGATGCGCCCTGCAGCAGACGTGCATTTCTGGCAGCGAAGGCCGAGTCGAGTACAAGCTCCCTAGCTCCCTGCTCTTTATCGCCTCCGTTCATCTCTGGTTCATTCTCCTGCTGGGCACTGTGGGGGTCTCTGGTGGCCCTGGCACCCTGAGGGTGATAGTAGACGGGCATCCCCCGAGAGCTGAGCTCTGTCGTGGGCAGGACTCCTACGTTACCGAGGTGCTGCTGGGCAGCTTGCTCTGAAGGCAGCATCAGCGGGACACCGCTGGATGCTGAAACTTTGGCAAAGGTATGAGCAGCGACCTGGGCCTGGGGAGGTGGGGACACAACACCTTCCTGTATGACGGATGGATAGGGAACAAGGTGGGACACAGCATGTTGCTGAGGAATAGTGCCTGGGGGAGAGATTAAGGATCCCGGGACAAAGCCAGGCGGTAGGGCATAAGGTACCGCTGCATAAGGGGAACTAACGAACTGGAGAGAGGAATGAGGGATCTGGGCATAACCGAGAGGAGGATAGGAAAGGCCTGGATGCTGCAGGAGAGAGGAGTGTACAGTGTAGGCTTGAGAGATGTGGCTTAACACTGGGTGGAGACTGGTAGGCGAGTAGGTAACAGATGGAAGAGCCACTTTGTAGAGCATACCGTACTGGTCAACTGGCACTGCTGGTATGCCATCAGAATTATCCACTCCATAATGAAGCCCCGGCTGAGCTCGCAGCCACTCTCCAGACGGGGCCCCTCCCTGAGTGTCACTGTTGGTTGCAGAGTTCTGGATAGAAACCACTTCATCTTCTCCAATACCACCACCACCACCACCACCACTACTACTACTACTACTACTGCCACCAGCCCCTCCTGCAGCCCCGACTCCTCCAGTAGTCCCTGCACCTCCACTGCTGTTGCTAACTAGGAGGTCCCTCTTCTTAGGAGGCAGGCACTCCTGGTTGCGCTCCTGAGCTGGTTTCATAGCAATCCTCTGACCAAGCAAGTGCCTTTACTGTACTGCACAGGAACTGAAACTTGCAAGCCAGTCGGCCCGCATAGGAACCAGATCTGAAATCACTGGGCTGACCTCGACTGCCAGTTCACCTAGAACAAAGAAGAAAAGTCAAAGCATCCGTTGGCACAACTCAAATCTTTTCTCAGGGTGCGTACTGCGCAGAAATGATTAATACACGTCAGATTAGATGAAGATTCTTTAGTTTCTGGTTGGAAATGACGGTGCTGCTACACTCGTAGCTGTAGAGACAGACATTGATGGAGAATGTTGTCATCAGTCTCTTTGACAGAGTGTATTTGAAAAATAAACCATTAGACTGGCCCAAGATGAACTTCACCAGCTCGAGATATACAAGGTGGTTGATTTTTCTCACCAGGGAAACTCATTCTGCAGGTGGAACATATTAGAACACTGAACTGTTCTGCTTTAGAATTATCTCAGTAAACCTGCTTACTGACCAGCACTAGATAGAAACCCCCCGTTTTATAAAAGTAGTTACAAGTCAGTTTTCTTCCAGTTACCGCTACACTTCACTTCGCACAAAGTTAACTATGTTTACCGTTAGCTAGCTCAGTGGCTGACTTAGCTAAAGTTAGCTAGCGACTTGGGAGTCATCATTTTCTAGGAAACACAGTAAAGTGACAGCATGACACGTTGTGCATCAACATTAATCGTAGATTCCGAGTTCAGATGATAGATAACGTTATACGAGGCATATTAGTTATCGCTATAATGCATCACTGGGCACCAGCCCAAAGGTTCCGGCTAGTTAGCTGCGCGGCTAACACAGCTACAACTAGCTAACGTTAACGTTAACTGACTCCAGTCCTGCTCGCAACCAACATGGCAACGCGCAGAAGGCCGATCAAAGAGGTCTCCACTTTGCATCGTTGTGTGGACGTACCTCCAAATGTCATCGCGAACACGCTGTTCTTCAAAAAAAGTTATGATGTGCGGAGGGACAATTGAAGAAATCAAGGCAGAGGAGTCGAGCCCATTTCGAAGGCCAGCAGAGAGGCGCTCACCAATGACGTCCCTACGTTTATTCAATTTCCTATTTTTTTTTTCTTCTCACGTACAAACGTCCAGCACGTACACCCAAGAGCAGACAGCAACATACGTTACGTTTTGCCCCCCTCCCTCCCTCCCTCCCTCCTAATACTACATCCAACTAATATTTGTACTGTAGTACTGTAGATATTTGTCAAATATAATACTCTCGATGCCATTTTAACAGAGACTCACGGGTCATGTGATTTTATCTCAGAAAGATATTTTAAAATAACTCACAATAGTGAACTTCACGAAAAAAATGCTCCGAGTTCATTTAAATGCATCAAATCTACATTGTGATAGTTGTATACAGTAGGGGGAGCTGGTGCCACGTGCACTGAAGAGGTGTTTGAATGAATCAGCCTCTTCAGCCTGAATTTGATAATTTGCTTGAAGAAAAAAAACACAAAAAGTGTAAACCTCGTGCTGATAGTAATAATAACTGATAGAGACGTATCCACAGTAGATGTGACCTAGCATTTCGTGTTTGTAGCCTACTTGTCTATGACCGTTTCATCTTTAAATAAATAAATAGCAGACTACAGACATGACAGGTCACTCTAGTTACACATAACCTTGGCTGGATTAGGCTGTTATAGGGAGCACATATTGACCCAAATTTCTACCATATTTCTATGCTGGATTCAGTTTTCTGTGTGTGAATTGCTCTGTGGTAGTATGATGGAAAAAAACAACTGAATTTAGCAATATGCACTATGTGAGTAAAACAAACTAAAATAACAACTCAAATGAACATGGGGAGCACAGGGAAGTTTGCCTGGTTGATAATCTATCTTTGAGACAAATACAAATCTTGACCATACCGTTAAAAGTGCATATGGTTAAAATCTTCACATCAATTTGACTTAATATTGGGTCAGCAGTGAGAGTGTATAAACAAGCTTGTTGAGACTGATGTGGAGATGTGTCCCATCGATGGCTCAGTCAACACTGGGAAGGTTAGCAGGGATTTAAGGTTTTAAATTCAAACCAGTAAAGTTGTCCAGTTGGCTTGAAAGGTGCACACATTCATTCAATTATGTATGCATGAAAGTATGAGGCTGTGAAAAAAAAAACACTTAATTTGTTTCGCTCACTCATTTCAGGAAGTCTATAAACTGAAAGGATTCACATTAGTCACAAAGACCCATAGAATGCAAGGCAACCTCCCAGAAGTTTAATAGCCACCTCAGAGATCTCTTGTAACACCACCAGTAGCAATTCCCTCCTTAGGATCTCTTCTTTTCTGTTATAATATTGCTTGCAATTTTGTAATCCAAATGTTCTTATTTCTTTCTGGTTTGAATCACAAAGCACACTGTAAATGTTTGTTAGTAAATTAGTGTAATTCGGTAGTAATTCTTAAGAGACCAACCAAAAACTAATGCGATGTGTGAGAGGCCATAGATAGATAGATAGACAGTGAATTCTTGAGACAGAATCCAGCGAAATAAAAGCCAGAACGCAAATTCATTTGAAAAATAATGTAATGATTAGTTACTGGTACACATTTGAGCCTTACTCTCGGTTAGTAAAAACAGCTTCAGTGCAGTACCACTGAAGTGAACTACATTTACAGAATAGATAAATCAACAGTTTTAGAAAACTAACAAGTCAACAGATTTAGAATATAGTTACAAAAATGGTCAATCTTCCCAAAAAAGGCACAGGGGATGTACAGCAGCACTTGCATCCCTCTTAGAGAACATTTGCATAACTGAATAAATACATCTGCTGCTCATCAATATCAAACTGTGCCACAGTGGAAGCACGGTCATCATGCAATTACAGCAGAGTGCAACATTGTGAATTAGTGGAAAAACACAGCATAAAAATATCTCTCCAGAAAATATAAAGACTAAAGGATAAAAGGTTATTTAGTACCATTAATCAAAAATATGAATTGGACATTTTCAAGCATATACAGTATTTATAATATTTGCCAAAATGATATTTAACAACCACTGTAAAACAAACTCTTATATAATGAGTAAAATGTGCAATTAAAGGCATTTGGGAGAGCAGGTTCTGCACTCACACTACACACATCGATATCAGAAATCACCTCAACGAGTTATTGCCAAAGAATCACGAGTTCATCTGAATATCATCGGATGGAAACTGCTCAATCAGATGTTGAGTCTGTCCAATAGTCTTATATTTTAAACAACAAAGGGCTTTGATGTTAAATGCTGTACGGTTATTTGACATGAGGATATCACACAGTGCTAGTTGCTCACCAATTGTAAAAAGTAAGAAAATGACCGATCAGTTTCCCCCGATGCGTCTCAAACCACTCTGTAGTTTAGGAAGTAGTAAACTTTCCAGACGGAATCTTTTCAGGGTCTCCAAATGACAAAGTCTTTGCAGCGCACTGGAAGTTCAGCTCTCAGACTGCTCCATACAAACCTGTTAAAATAAGAACCTGTCCTGACTGAAAGCACAGTAACTTCACTGCTCGTTTTATTTGATCTCTCTATGCATTATCTGCAACAAACAAGATGCTTTTACAAAGATAATTGTTGTATTTATGACACTTGTTGTCCAGATGATTTATTGCTCATATTTTCTCGTGTGCTGCCTTGAAACTGTGTCACTTGTCATTGACCCATCGCTGTTTGGTTCACTGGATGAGTGACTTCAGTGCCTGAAATTCACTCCGACTAACTACACACTGGTTTGAGTCGAAGCCCTCGTCTGTGCCTTTAAATATTTACCCATCCAGCTACTGTTAATATGAACAGTTTCTCCTCAGTGCCTTTCCAGAAGGTCTCTATAAACATTGAATAAAGCCCCTTCCAAAAGAGAAGAGGAATTGTCTTCCACAGACTGAAGTCATCACAGCTCCACTTTGCCTTCTCAGTGTTCACCTGCTTCATGGTACTAAACACACAGGAACCTTTTCTCTGCTTCAAAAATAGAGGAAATCTACAAAGTTAGACCCTGAAATCACACCATTTGCTGCTTACAGTGAAACCTCAACACAACCATTAAAATATGGGTACTTGGAGCAAATAGCATTAAGTTTGTGCAAAAAAAAAAAAAAAAAAAAAAAAAAACGCCCCCCCACCCCCCCATTACATTCAACCAGGCCAGATCCTCTTCGTTTTACTACATAGTACAATAGTTCCTCGCAGTGTTATTTTCTGTTCCTCTTTCTAAAATAAAAACTATGTAAAATTTGACATCATCGATTACTTTTCCTGGAAGCTACAAAATAATTTGAGTAATTGGAAATCAGTGTTCAGTGAAATGAATCATTGCTGCTGCAGAAAGAAAATGGGCATTTCTAATTTCAAGCATTACTATTTGGATTACCTTTTTCAACTCCATTACAGTGAGGACGTTTTACTGACCAATGAGGATTCTACAAAAGGACAACTACACTGATGGTACTGCTACACCCATTTCAATTGTTGCTTTACAATGTGTGTTGAATCACAGGTAGGAGACGAAGCTCTCAACTCAATAGTAAAATCTCCGAAAGCCCTCTGTGTGTGTGTGTGATACAGTACACTCATAAAAGAGAGGTTTTCTAAGCTTTAGTTCATCTGGTGACAATGATGATTCAGTCCTAAAGAGGAGACTTCAGTTAAAAAAAATTACCTCCGATTTCAATGCAGCATCAACGGTGCAAATTCTAGCTTATAAATAATTAAAAATCCAAAGTCCAAGGCTGATGTTTTTTCTATATTTAATTTTCCTTCTTGGTATTTAAGAAAGAGGTAATAGAAAGTAAGATGATTAACTGTTACACAAACCTGTACTGAGCTCACTGTACTGAGCCTTCAGAGACTGTCATTTTCAAGAGTCTCTGTCGAGAGCCAGATCCTCGCCCCGTTCAGAAATTTGCTGATGGGGGTCCCATAGCTACCGCGGCGACACAGGTTTCCCATTGGGGTGAAAGGAAAGGAGGAAGTCAGGAAGTCTGGAGGTGAAGGGGGGTCATGTGGGGAGCTGGCCTTAAAATACATCCTCCTTTGGTCGGAGAGGGGCCCACTTGAGCTGGGGCGTGGCGTTCTGCCTGGACTGGGTCCCTTATACTGCCTGAGCTGGCTCTGTAGAATCTCCATTTCGTCGACCAGTTGGGAGAGCTTGTGGTAGGCGGTGATGGGGCCTCCTTTGGCAATGCAGGCTTCAGGAACCCAGCGTAGGAAGTAGAGCTTCCAGAGAGACAGGTGTGAGGGCAGGAGCAGGGGAATCAGGAGGCCCTGCAGGTCAGCAGGTCGAGAGAACCAGTCTCTGAAGAAGCGCTCTGACGGGCTTTCGTCTTTCACCAGTGAGAAATCAGGCCTCAGCTCCGACACCAGAGAGCCCCGTCGGGTCAATGACTCGTCTCCAGCCTTCAGTCCATTGCGCAGAGATGCAGGCATTCCTCGCAATGTGGAACTGTAGGTTCTCTGGTGGAGGAAAGACACAGTTTAGCATATTTAGTGAGAAAAACCATTTGTTCCAGGTTCTCTTTTAGTGCATCTGCATCAAATCCTCAAGATCCTGAGATTTAAAACTTTAGAAAAAAACCATGATGTATTTTCTGTGTAATGATTCACCTCGTATGCCTTTTCTCAAGTTGCTGATTACAGAAAAACTAAATGTTGCCCATAAAATCTCCGCAGCAATTATCAAAACTGCTGACTGGATGGATTATTCATGTTAAACATTTACTCCATCAGAAACTTTTCAGAAATTCTGCAGAATGCATATGAAAATAGTGTTACCTACCAGACTGAGGTAAACATAAGAGGGCAGATGATTGAAGTGACTCATTTCAAAAATATCTGGACGATGACTCTAATCTGACCTTAAAAATAGGAAGGCTATGTGACGAGCACCTTCAATTAATTAGAAATCAGTCAGAGAAGCAGCTACACTGTATTAAAAAAGTAAAGCACAAATGCTGTTAAACTCTGAAAACTACTTCATAGCGTTCTCTTCCTAAATTCCCGGAGAAAAAAAAGAAAATGAAACTGATAAAGGCTTTATGCGTAACCAAAGGAGAAAACAAGAGTGTAACACTTGTGTGTAGACGTACAACAAGTCCTTGCGTGTAGATGTACAACAAGTCCTGGCACACTAAAAACTGACTACATGACCGTAAACAGGAAGGACTGGTAAAGACCTTACGCCTTTAATTCAACATGGCTGAAAACCATTAAACTAAGGCTGAAAGTCTACACGGAAAATCAAGTGTTTGTTATGAATCCAAGGTAGTAAAAGAAGTGAACTTGCAGATAAAACAATGTGCTACTTCTCCGCCGATGAACTTGTAAAGTGTGTTGTGTACCTTTGTGCGTCTGAAGGTTTTCACTTCCCCATTCTGAACGCAGGCCGCTCCTTTGCCTATGTACATGGGGTTGTTGAAGAGGGTTTGGGCTTTGGTGGAGAACTGCTGTGACCAGTCCCAAACAGGAGGGAAATACACAACCTGGTCCTCTCCTTGAGGGATTGCTTTATTCTTGGCAAAGTCCTGTAGAGTAAAGACATGGTTACTTATACTCTGGAAGTGTTTTCATGACAATCCATGTCGGTAAACAAAAAAAATAAAACTGCCATAATCAGTCAATTTAATTTTGTTACTTTCCTGACCACAAACTAAATGTGCTCTTATCTGTGTGCATTACGTTGTACTCTTTCCTGTCAATAATCTCTCTCACACACACACACACACACACGAAGAAGTTAAAGTTTTTAACATGAGATAATACCACAAAAACATGTTGCTTCTAAGCAAGCACAAATCAAATAGTGTTTTTTTTTTTTTTGTTTTTTTTTATAAATTGTATATTTAATTAACTACCATTTTTGCAAAAGTTTGTTCCCATTTATTTGATTTTAAAAAAAATAAATAAATAAAAATAAAAATAAATATATATATATATATATATCTTCAACTAAATAAATGAATACACAATCATGTGTGTCTCTCACCATCAAGTGCTGAGCACGCTGTTGGGAAGAATTGAAGAGGAAAGTACTGAAGAGTGGGATCCACATGCTATCACTCAGTACTGTCAGATAAGCCTCTGTGAACTCGAACGCTGCTGGGTACTGGTTCATCATCTGCCACACGCAGTCCAGGAACAGCATGAACAGCGGGGACTTGACCGAGAGAACAGAGACGAACAGACAAGAAGCATAAGTGTCTCTGCATTTCTATTAGTTCTGGGAGCGCGCCATTTACCGTCAGACAAATACCTCGTCTTTGTCATTCTTCTTTAAGTGGTTGCATCTGTCCAAGAAGCGATGGCCTGCCATCACCCACTCCTTCTGCACCAAACTCTGAAAGCCAATGAGGCTGCGATAATGAGGGTCCAACATGAGCTGCACCAAGGAGGACACCACACAGTTCAGGTCTCTGTCTTCCTCTTCTGCACAGGTAGAAAAAAGGGAAACCAAAAGCTTAAAACAAGTAGTTTCTGCTTTAAGCGTTGTTGTTGTTCAATTATGTTTGGGAGGACACGTTTGAACGTGGTCTGAGCAATCCGATCTCAATGCGTCTTGGGTGCATTCACACTTAGAGCTGTCCACGTGTGATCGGCTCACCCATGACGCATGTTAATGCCAGGTCTAAACAGGGCCTCTGATGGCTATAGTACAGTAAGTTTCTAATTTGACCACAATATTTAAAATGTAATTTTGCTTGTTTGAAGCCAAACGTTGGTTCAATATGACAGACAAAGAAAAATCAAAAGTTATAGTCTGCCATCATGCACCATGCAGTTAAGAATTAAAAAAAATGCTGTTGCTCTGCAACTCTCTGCCTTGAAACTGTGAGGCTTGACCTCAAAATAATATGGGGACAAATGACCGATAAAGACAACTTACAGTTGGGGAGTTTTACCTTGAAGAATGACTGAAGTGTTCTTTCCATCCAACAGGTACACCATCTCAGCTGAGTGTTTCAGGAAAGCCCTTGAGTCACAAAGGGAACATAAACATTTATGGATTTTTTATGGCTAAGTGGCTAGCAGGGCCGTCTCTCAATCAGAGGGTCGGCGGTTCAAACCCCGGCTCCGGCTCTGCTAGTCGCATGCCGATGTGTCCTTGAGCAAGACACTTAACCCCAAAATTGCTCCCGTAGCTGTGCCTACAGTGTAGAAATGTGATAGAATCTGAATTGTAAGTCGCTTTGGATTAAAAGTGTCTGTTAAATGACTGTAATATATATATATATATATAAATATATATATATATATATATATATGATGTGTGAATGCATCTTAAATAAGATATAATAACGACAATAATGATATGTTTATGCAGGTATGTTATGTTATGTTCCAGCTGGAACTTTGAGGTTAACACAGACGTCGTGACATTCTAATTTAGTTTCTTTTAAACTTTATAAAGTGCTTTCGTCCAGTGTTAGGTTGTTTACATACCTGACGTACTCCAGCCATCGTGCGTTTTCAATAGATGAGAGCCACCTCTCCTCTGACTCCTCGAAAGGATCTGCACACAGTCAAAACAATCAGTACACCTACAAATCTATACCCACGCATGTTGAGAATCCACATTGGAATTGAAAGTGGCAGTGAGGCTCACCTATGACACAGATCTGCCTGACTTTAATAAAGGCACTCTGGATGTCCTGGATGTTGGGCAGACACTTGTCTACATCTGACCTGATGACTTCACTGCGCTGCGGGTGGCTTTTTGTGATGGCGGGGAAGACCCTACAACAACAACACAAGACAGAAATCGATGACGGAGGTCTTAAAAAAAGCTGTGTCAACATCTCAGCAAATCCTAATTTGTATATTCAAAACATTGGCATAATCAGCTTTATTACCAAAACTGTACTAAAAAAAAAAAAGACATGCTCTGATGGCTGCTATTGCATTCCAGTGTAAAAGACAGAGTAGAAAAAAAAACACATTTGATACACGTTTGAGGAGTTTTGTGTACCTCTGATCAATCTTCCTCTGCTGCAATGGATCACCTATGCCAGCCATGCGGACAAGAGCACTTCCATTTGGGTGATTCCAGCACCAGTGCTACAGGAGAGAATGGAAATAAATCAGCGGGCAAATAAAAGGGATGCCCTGATCAATCAAAGATTACAAATTACTCCATTGGTGGTCCATGAATGTGCTAATAAAATAACATTCAAGGCCTAATTATATATAACTGACAGGGATGAATTGAGTATTGCTAAGTGAAGCTTGAAAACCAACACACTGTTAATGGAGGCATCAGAAAACTCACAGGGACGCGCTGGTTCATGAAGAACATGGAGTGCTGCTTTAGATCCTGATCTGCCAGAGAAACTGGGACCACAATGTGCTCTGGAAGACTTAAAAGAAGAGTTAGAGAAAGACTGCTGTTACACAGGAAGCAATCATCAGACACCAGGAAAATACAGCAAAGAAAAAGTACTTTTTCCCACAACTACCAATCTTAAAGTCTGAAAGACAAAGACCTTGGTCGACGTACTGTAAATATCTATTTAGCACCGGATTTGTTTTACTCCGTTTGTCCCAAATACCTAAGCTGAGGAGTATCTTAGTGAGGATTTTTGTGACTGAGGGAAAACTGAATCGGAGTGCACTGAAAGTATTGTTTTAGCCCCATGTGATCTGCACAGTTTGGTGCAAGCTACTATTATGCAGTTTTGAGTCTTTTCTCAAATTCCACATAAAACACTGTACAATCCTTACTTTGAAACCCACCATGATGTCACCACTGAACTCAGATGAATAGCCCATATTGTCCAAAATAGACGTGCATGTCACACAGACATTCACAAAGTTTTTTTCCTCAAGTCGCTCATGAAGCGAGGAAAAAAGCTCACAGTGTAAATATACCGTCTTGCCAAAACATACCAGGTATGAGTAAAGGGTGAATAATGTGCGACTGTAACAACTAAGGCCAAGTGAAGGACATAATCTGCCTTTGACGCCCATCATAAATTGCCAACAATAAACAACGTGAGCTGAAAACCTTGGTGAGATGGCATAACGCTCGTTGACAGAGCACACTCTCCACTCCGACGCCCCCGTTCTCTTGATCTCCCGATCCCAGTCTGATGGACGGTCGAAAATGGGGGTCTGTAATCCTCCTCGAGGGGTGGCACCATTGACTCGCTGCCCTGGAAATACAGATACACTTTCAGATTATTTCTGGTGCATATTGCAGATAAATTCAATAGTCATAGTCATTAAATAGGATAGTCAAAACTACGTGTGGATTAACCTAAAGATCACACGTTTCAAAAACATTTCATGCCTTTTGGAAGCAATAAAAGAAATATGGCATGCTAAGCGCATACCTTTAGATTCATGGTACCGCCGCCCTTGATACTCAAAGCCAAACAGCAGTGGAAGATCAGCTGGGTGGGAATAGTGGGCAATAGCAAGGCAAACCTAGAATAAAAAGAAAAGTGCTCTAATGGGACACACGGAGTACAATACAATAGATTTACAGCTGAATGGAGGAAATAAATTAAACATCATCAAGGCAGATTAGCTTTCATCAAAACCATTCGGCTTCAAAACTCTTCTTTAAAACACACAAACAAGTAAAACCTGGGAGAGCTAATGTTGAACTGACAGCCTACTGCTCTGGGTTCATAGGACTGAATCTCCCTGTGGCTCCACTACGGTCACACAAAGCCATCCATTCAGTAGTGAAGCTGTGAAGAACATGAGAGGACACTGAAAAAGTGTGTGTGTGTGTGTGTGTGTGTGTGTGTGTGTGTGTGTGTGTGTGTGTGTGTGTGTGTGTGTGTGTGTAGACAAGGCTGCTCCCAACGCTGTAATTTCCAATGGCAGAATAAGCCATTATAGGTTGGGTTAATTCCATATGTCACAAAGAAAAATAGAAAAAGAGCAGAGCCCCGTTTTAGGTTCACACTGTAATTACATACATGGGGCCCATAAATAAACTCACACGGAGTGAGGGAAGGCAGACTCATTTATATTTTGAGCGCTCTATACATAATCACCCTCCAGATTCTGTTGTAGCAGTAGAGTACAGAAATTAAGGTGAATATTTCATTTTGAAATACATTAGATAGAGACTTGTAATGCTGGTCATAGGACTGTTCAATGCCATACTTGAATGCTGTTGTTAGCCTAACGTGCTGCAGGTATGTGCTGTGGAGCTCCGAGTCCTCCAAAACCTACACAGAAATTGCTCCCAGATGACATGGGAGGAGATGAGACATGTAGATTTGTACATTCACGTCATGAGATATACGGCTGCCTAACTCTTGTGGGTCAGGTAGTGAGGCTGCAGGGAGCCAGGAGCTTCTGAAAAGCTTTGTGCACACAATTCATAAATACACATTTATTTCCTGGACTTCTACAACTCCAGATAGCACAATGTTTTGAACACGCATCCATGCCTACATAGCCTGAGTCAGCTGATTGTCTATTTTGTTACCGTTGGCTGTGTTTTTCGAGTTGGTTCAGTTTACCGATCAAGCAATCGCATGTTAATAGGTTCTGTCCAAGGTGCCAACTTCTTGGTTAAAAATGTTTCTTTAAAAAAAAAAAAAAAAAAAAAAAAAAAAAAAAAAAAGGGCTTGAAAGTTTTGGCAAATTCACTCAAAGACTGAATTGCTGAAAGGATTTCCTTTCATGTCCATTATATTACTGGTATTGAGGTATTTGACTAAGTTGAAAACATATAATCTTATATTAATAGCTACTATAAAAAGGTACACTCACTTCCAGGTCTCTACATTGAGCTCTAGTTTGAAAAATGAAACATCTGTCCATCTAATCTCTTCCTGCAGGAGATGAGTCAGAGTCACACTGGAAGGACTCTGACTCATAAGGATACAATAAGGATCATTCTCAGTTCATGTGCCTTGAACGAGCATTGTTCTCTTTGTCTCTTATTTATCGTTTGGCGAATGGCCACACTGTTGAGAAGTTAGTCATTTCTATCCAGATGGAGGGTGAGAGATAGAAATATCCTTGTTGCTGAGGAAGTGGTCACAGCACTGACAGTGACTGGGAGTATGAAGTGAGCTCACACAGTCACGAAAGGAAAAGTTTGGTCATCAACAAGTAACAGTGAAGTGGATAAGGGAAACTGAGAAAAGGGGAATGAATGGTTAATACTGAGCAATAATAGAGGCATTAAAGCTCTTAAATTGGAGGAACCAGCAAGAGCAATCTAGATTTTAAAAGGCCACCCTCCAAAACCACTCCCCCAAATTATCACAATGACCATTAACATATCATAATGAACATGGCTATATTAGAGCCACAGATACCATTTTGTTTTTTTTGCCAGAGCATTTGATTTATTGATTGCTGTCGGGATGTTATAAATATAACAATAATGTTTCTAAAATGCATTACCTACCCTAGCTTTATGAGTTAAAGCCACAATGTAAAACTTCATGCGAATCTTTCAAATTATTGTGACGGCAAGTTTTTCTTTGCACAAAAATGAGCCAATTGTGGTGAAACTGGTGCCATTTGTGTTGCGTTCAACGCAATCATCTCAGGCTCCCAGGGTTCGGAGACATGGATAACCTTTTTTTTTTAATGCTACCACTGAATTATTTTAAATTTCTATGTTTTAAATTGTCTGTTTTTTTAATTTTTCCATTTAGTCATATCCCAGCTGAACCTAAAGTTAACGAGAGTCATCTCATATTTTTAAAAAGCCTTTCTAAGACGATAACAATGAAATTATTGGATTCGATATGAAACAAAAGTCAGCGTCACTCACCTTTTTGGCACTCTCAGGCCCAGCCTCAACAAAGCAGAACCTAATGATGCGCAAGTCTTTGCAATAGAGGATGAGCTCTGTCGGGTTGAACTTCAGCTTCTGGTTGGAGCCCAATACTTTCTTCTTCCCCTTTGTATCATTTACTGGGAGGAAAAAACACAAAACACGATTCAACTTCCTCTAATGCAGATGGCAATGCTTAGTGATGCAAGATTGAATTTGAAAGCAACCTCTCTGGACACAACAACAACTACAAAACATCTCTCTGCCAAGGCTGAATAATTTGTCTTGAGATATTTTTAAGAGTTTCACAATGTGTTTGAGAGTTTATAGACCTCCAGCAACAAGAACTCTGCAACCAATTATATAAAAACTGTACGGCAAATCATAACATATGCCATTACGGATCATGTTTTAATTCATTATTATGTATTGTTATGATTTATTAGTATGAATATGAAGCTAAATAGCATTTGGGATTTTGACTGTTGGGGCATTGAGACACTACCACCCGACCCTGGTGTAGATTACAAATGATGTGAAAGCACATGCAGTAAATATCACTTCTGAGTAGAATCACAACATACGGATTTGATTGATATTACATCACTAGTGCCTCATCTCATGGTTATACTCCTATACTATGATAATACAGATAACAAGCTGGGTAGAACAAAGCCTCGTGCTTCATCACTGCGACACAACAAACCTTGCCCTGGACAGTTGCCCTTGCAGTGTCAGCAATCGACAGCAACGCGACATATAAACAAGTCTAATCCCAGCCAGGCTGCACTGCCCCTGAACACTGCCTTAGCTGTGACATCACTTGTTATCAGATGTCTGACCAGGAAAGACGCCAACAAACACAATCAGGCCACCGAGCTGTCGAAGATAAAAGAGGGGCCCATCTAACGTGTATTCTGATCTTAGTTCCCTCTGGTAAAATGACGACTTTAGGATGCTAACCGAAACAGTCGATTGAGTAAGAGATTAAACATCTGCTGAATACACCATAAAAATGCTTTAATCTTCACAACCATTAGTCAAATGAATAGTTTCTGGTTGTCTGGATACAGAAACATTTGTGCTCTGGTAACAAGAAGTCTACGTGTGGAAGTCAGTAGGTGAATGTCTGCCATGACAATAGCAAACAGAAAAGAAGAAAAACAAAAGTAAGTTTTGCCACAAATGTTACGTTACACCAGATGTACCTGTTACTACTTGCTCCAGACAGGTGAGGGGGATGTCGTGTTCTCCAAGCAGGAGGTGGGACAAATGGGAATTCTGTAGTTAAGGCAAACAACAACAACAAATAGTATGAGTGACATCCTGTCGACTGTATTACACCCAAAACTAACCGAAATATAAGTGGTGGCTGGATTGAGTTGATCCCCTCAGACCGAGTAATGATCAAGTTCCATTTTGTTATTAGGGCAACAATCCGCCGCATAGCTGGAAATGACGTCTGTTCTCTCGCTTCTTGTGCGTTGTCGCTGACAATATAGTGCAGGAAAGTACACAAGTTTTCCTTCCTCCTCACCAGCTGCACTGCACATACAATCATGGCGGTGGAAATGCAAGTATTCAGCAGTAGTCTGGTGGCACCACTAGATTTCACAAATATAAAGTTTTGACACTTTGAAGCAATGTATATGAGGAAGTTTAAAAAATGTGGTTTGGACTTCTATGGTATCATAATGACAGAATTCAAACCAACAACCTTATATCTTTTCACCACTTTTAACAATGACTAAATGGCACAGTTGAGTGCTTTAAAGTCAGACAACACAAATACCTGTTTATAAGAGGCCTCTGAAGGGATGAAGGAGACCTTAAAGTTGGTGCAGATCAACTTCCCCCAAAGGTCATCCTGGCTGCTTTCCGCGCTGATGCATTTCCTCACAAAGTTCACCTCATTAACTACGATCTCGCCTGGGGACAAACAAATGAGAGAAAAAAGAAGACGCGAGTGTAAAACCTACATTCAGGTTTAACGACATGACTTTTACATCCTTTGTTGTCGTTACATTTACGACCAAAGTTTAAAACTTTAGGTCATAAATGTCACAACATTTGTGATATGTTTCTTTCCTACACTAATTGTCCTTCTCCATCTACTTCTTTCTCTCCTTTTCATACAACATGTAATCTTACTATTCTTAAGGCAAACAGAAAAATGTACATCACACATCATTTTTTTAACTAACTGCCCAGTGAAAAACAAAGGATTTCCACATTTCAGTGATACACCGTGTGATTTTCCAAAAGCATAGCAGACACTGTATAACATAATTTTCTTTATACATAAATAGGTATAAAGCCAAGCAGAAGGCTGGGGTCACTCATCTCAACTCCAATGTCTCTGTAACAGCAGCATGTTTGTGAAAGACTCTGTTGCAAAACCAAAAAGTTAAATGATTTTAAAAAGCTGAAGCTGCTTAACTCAAAGTTTCTGTTGGGCAGAACAAAAAGCCCCACACAAATTTTGTGTGATGACAAGTGGGACAGTAACCCCCTTCAGTTCTGCTATTTGCAAATCACTTTATCGATTATAAGCTATAGGCTAATGACACATCTTTGAGTAACATGCCCCGTATCTCTTAACATGACAACCAAACAATAATGCCGCTAAACGTTGTCCCAGGGATTCTCAAAAGATGAACGCTGGAGCAGCATTGTTGAGTCCTACAGACGGAGAAACATCAAAGGACTGCCTCAGAGCAGCATGTAGCAAATACACAGGAAGTTTAAAAAAAAAAAAAACATGTTCATATGTCCGGCTCTAAAATCAAGATGAGAGAGGATCGACAACCCCTAAGTGGTAAATGCTGCCTGCGAATGGAAAGTACCAGTTATTTAGTACGCAATGAAAATTCTAGTGTCGTACTTCACGTAAATAAAATACACTTCACAAAGTACAGCAGGTTTGCAACATGAAGATTTTGTTGAATGTGGCTTTTAGGAAACCTTAAAGAGATCATCCTCCTCATCCTTTCATAGCAGACATCACTGTATATTTACTCCAAATCACACACAACGTAACACTATGCACAGGGTGTGTCGAGCCACTCCCATGAGGCTCCCAAGTCTACTGCTCAGACCAAACCAGAATAAATCTTTGAAATGAATTCTTTCCTGCTGCTCCAGTTAGTTAACTATTACACTTAAGACTTTGGGCAAAGTTCTGGTGTCAAGGGGAAGAATTCCATCTGTAAAGACCACTTTCACGATAGTCGTGAAAAGTTACATTTTTACTGGAAACAACTGTTTTAAAACTCTAAGGAGGTGGAAACACCACAAGAACAGAGAGGAACTGAGTCGTAACCCTAAAAGGGATGCTGACAGACACCGAACAACAATCTTTGTTATGTATCAAGCAAAAAGTAAACCTTTTTCTTTTTGCGATGCCAACTAGTCTTAGGATGATGCAGAACATAAGACTTACCTTGAAGTAACTTGGGTTCCAACTTTTTAAGAGGTGGTTCAATAGTTTTCTTCACATCAGTCTGGAGAAAAAAGCACAAGTCACTTCAGAGTTACTTAAACATGACATTTGTTGGATGGTTGATGAATGAGGGCAATAATGTGCCATTACAATTTGGAGGGGCTAGAAAATGACCACTCACACTCACCATGTGTGACCCTGCGTTGTAAACAAAAGTATGAAATATAAATTGCTTCTGTGGAATTGATTGAGACTTGTTACAGGGATTGCAGATTCCCAACACACCTCCGATGCATGGTGAACATCCTGACAGCTATTATGCTCCTTTTTGTTAAATGAATGTTGCATAAACGGGTGCAACATGCCATTAGCAATGATAAGCCTGGGGCGAGCCGTTTACAGAACTAGCTTGAAACCAAAGATAGACAGCGGTCAACTAATGCTATTAATACTGTAACCCCCAATGCTGCTCACACTTGCAGATACAGTAACAGCCTGTAAGTGTTTGCACAGTCACGTGCTTTGAATGACTATGAGGCTTAAGCGCCGACTTTCAACTCTAAGGAGTGTTTGGGGTGGAAGTGTAGGAATCATAGTCTGCACGTGGGTTTATAGATAAAATGGGCTACAGTTTATATGCAGTTAGTCAACTGTGGCTGTATGGATGTCATCAAACTAAAAGTTAGCAAAGAGTTTTAACCTCAAAGTTATTGCTTTATTTAAAATCCAATGTGCTGGAGTACACGTCCAAAACAAAACCTAGCAAAATACAAGGACATGAAAAAGAAACATTAAATGATCAGAGCATATTTTGTTAAGTAAGCGAAGGGCTGGAACTTACCAACATACATAAAATACATCCCGTCAGAGTGTAAAAGTTACTAAAACTGTATCCGTGTTAAGTGGATCATTGACATTCTCTCATAAATGTGCAATCTCTGCAAAGTGCATTTAATCCTCGAATGGAAAAATGTACCTAGACACAAATATAGATCATCAGTATAGTGTCTATTTGCAATTTTTAAAGTAATTACGAAGACCAGAGCATGCCCAAGACAATATGATGATCATTTTGAGCTGGAATAAATTATTTAATGCTATTTTTTTTTTTAAACAAAATGACAATATAAAAATGTTATCTGCATTCAAAACACTTCCCAACTCTAGTCTTGGCCTTGACAGAACAAACACATACTGTGTTTGGGTTGTTGCACCCGCTTTGACTGGCTGTCTGGACAAGTGCATACATACATGCACCTGTAGGCAAATACGAGCCCATAAACACACAATGAATGTCAAATTGTAGTCGGGCACTTATTCTCCTTTTTCAAAACGGTAACAGATTACCCATGCATGGTTTCAATTCTTCAAATGAAACAGGAACAGAGAGAAAACTCTTGCCACTTCCAACAAGTGACATTTTCACTTGACATGCACATTAACATCTTTAGTGTTAAAGCTTGTTTTTAGTGTTTGGCGAGTCCAATATACAGCAGCAAATCAACAGGGCTGCACGACAACGTCAGCCTAACATGATACATATTATTTGACACTGCATCGTGACCATTCACCGTGAATACTTAATCTTAGCAAATACATACCGGTACAGGAGGAAGATAACTCTTGAAAGTTGGCTTCGTGGGTTTGACAGAAAACATTGTTTATGTTCTGCTCTCTCAGCGAGGTTCTGAAACGGTCGCTTTGGCTTTTGCCAGTGGAAAGAAAAAAAAAACAACAACAACAACCCAAAGGGAGCCCTTCAAAAAAAAAAAGTTCAGTTCAGTCCTTTTATCTGAGTAAATCCGACACGTCCGTGTGTAAAATACTCATCGAGACAGCCTGGGCCAGTGACGACACTCCTCCATTACGATCAGCAGTTAAGCAGCAGATTACGCTAGCTGGGTGAAAAGTTGACAGAAGTTACCGTTGAGACGCCGTTAGCTCGGTTAGCTGGCTAGCAGTAAGTACTGTGTGAAGTTTAGAAATGCCGTTCACACGCAGACAGAAAAACGGTTAAAAAATGATTTAGATGAACCCGTTATGTGTCCACATTTTCTTTCCAGCTGTTACGGTGTTAGTTACCCTCAGTAACTTCCTGAATGTCTAACTAGTTCAGCCAGACGCAGTACCTGACGCTGTAAAGGATTTATCGGCCATGTTTATAAAAAGCCGAGGACCAGCCCTACTTCCGGGCTCCACCGCTGAGCTGTATTTCTGTACCGAGACTTTCTTTCATCAAACTTTCTGTAAAGCTGAGCAGGACACCGGGGTGCTCTGTACATATCCTAAACCAGATCACTGTCTGCTACTGCACGTTGTAGTAAATATTGATAACCTTGCCATTTGATGGATAAAAGACCGATTCGTTTTGTTAGCGTTGATGAAGTACACCACCCATGGACTACAACTCCCATGAGGCATTGACAGTTTACGGGCGTCAGTCGGTCAGGGTTGTAGTTTGTTTGTTTGTTTGTTTTTTGCGATAACTTTATTTCACAAATATACAAGCTCTCGTCAAATTCAGAACACTTTAATTATGTATTTCATTTGACAGATAATCCAGATAAAAATACAATCCACGGAAATACAGGTACAGGTATCCAACTAACTGTACCCTAATAAACCAACAACTACAACAGAGCAATAAAAACTCAAGTGTTGTGAAAGTTTATCTATTTATCTTTCGACATTAGTGCCTCTAACTATTAGTTATGTCCACTAGAAATACCTTTACTTTAGATTATATACACTGGGTGGCATTATTGGTTAGTTACGGGAGCTTTTGGCCTGCATATATAATGTGAAAAGTTTTCACGATTATCATTGAAAAATACTTCAAACATTTGCATTATTGTTGTAAGCATACATGTTTCATACATTTAAATGATCTAGTATGATAAAACAGTAGATTGGATAATAGTTCAACCTCTCATGTCAAATTTAACTTACAAGGTAGAACTCATCTCAAACTGTATTCATAAATCACAGGAACCCTATATGTCACTTTTTCCCTTTCGTGTTGTGTTTAGTAACACAGTAAAGAAACATACTCAGAGTTGACCCAAACGCAGCCTCAGGAGACATGGCAGACAGGAGTAGGCTATAGTCTACTCAGGTTTAAAGGCAGGCATACAGTGAGCAACTTGAAGGCAGTGAGATGATGTGGCAGAGGATAAAGTGGTTGGCTTAATGAGGTAATTAGGGGCAGGTGTGCAGGCAGGGACAGGTGATGGACAGAGGATGGTGCTTGGTGGACAGATGGGGAAGGGAACGATAGTTATGTTGTCAGTGCTGCCTCACACACATACTGCTTGTGTCCGTTCAGCCATACACAGGCCCAACTTCTGCATTTCAAATCTATTGCTGATGCATTCCAACTCAATCTGAAATGTATAACTAAACCTCAGAGCTTTGGCTGAATAAGTTCAAAAAAATCCTCTAAAACATTAAAAATAATCAATATGGGCAGGGCTGGGTCAGGGTCGGTATGACACGCCCTGTCTCAGAATCAGAATCAGAACTGTTAACTGCACGTTACACATACAAGGAATTTGACTAGGTGAATGGTGCTTAACAATAAACTGAGTGCAACAGTATGAGACATAATTTAAAAATGTGAAAAATATACAATAAAATATGGTAAACAAACAAATAAGAGTATGTTAAAACAAGTGTATTATTAAAGTGTTAAGTACATATTAATAGAGAAAAGATGAGCCAGGGTGTGTAACTGTAAGAAATTGTCCTGGGGATGTAAGTGTTCTCAGTGGGGGTCTCGTCTATTATAGGCTCATGGTTATTGAAGCATTACAAACACAAGCTCTTCTGATATTTCTCTCTCCACCGGCTGCAGAGTCTGAGACATTGGTTGTATGGACGATTTCACAGTTTATAAACATAAACATTCCAAATGTGTCCCAGTGTTTGTTTGTGAGGGAAGCTGCCACAAAATACATCACGTGCCTCCATATCATCCAATACCAATATCCAGTTGCATTCGCCTGGTTTCAACCAGTAGAGAGCAGTATGCATAATTATAACACAATATGTATAATTCAAATACTTTGCACTACAATGTCAAGATTTGTCCCTGAATCCATTAACAACATTAATAAATACTCTTATTTATTTTTCAGTATAAAACAACTATTTGCTAGTGGAGCAATGTCATCCTGAGCAGAGAATGAAGTCGCTCTTCTTCTTTGTGTGTTATCCAATCTTCTCTGTGCTTTGTTTAGATAGCCAGGCCAGCCGCGTGTGCCTTCCAGTGCATGTTAGTGCATGTTGGTACTGGCATAGCTTACAGCTATAACTTTTAACTACGCTCAGATGCAATATGCTCTTGGCAAATGTCCTGCTGTTAACACAGATCTTCATTAACCCACAACAACAATCTTCTGGCCAATGGCTTGAGGTGTATTCATATTTTCTGCCTTGTCCTATAAGGGCCACTGGGTGGTGACAAAATACTGCACCAACAGTATCCCCACAGCTCGATGAATCATACCTTTTTTTTTATTATAACAGCTCTCTTGGTTTGCTCATGATACTTGTCAGATTTGTTACCGTCTGTCAATATTTGGAAACACCATTTACAGTCAGATGACAAATACTGGGCAGTAACATTTAGGCTTTTACAAGTGAGTATTCATTATGTTCTGCTGAGCAATTCCCATTATTTTTGAATATTTATCTTAGATGTAAAAGTACAATTTTAAAAGTACATTTAGAATAAGACTTAGATAGGACTACAACACACACACACACACACACACACACACACACACACACACACACACATACACACACAATGTGTCTACTGCCAACAGTGGCAGCCTGTTAGACAGGTTACACCCTGAGAGTGGCCTCACCGCCCAACATCATTTCAAGGCGAACCTCAGTCTGGCTGGAGACTGGTTGTGAGAAGTGGATACCAGTGCCACCCATGCATTCAAAATAGCTTTCCTTTGAGTAGGCTTTTCAGTTGCATTTTTATTTGTCTCAGGAGAGGGTGGGACTGAATTACTGTACACAATTTGTGAGCTAACTTTAAAAAAAAAAAAGTAATTCATTAAAAGATCATTTTAAGTCAGATAGGAAAGGGCAGTCAAAGACATGAACTGGATACCAATGATAAATCCTTCCGTCTGTGTATGAAGTTCAAATGATTATTCCACATGCAGCATGTAAAAGGGAAATATGGCTTCACAAACTAAAGCATCAATACTGCATATTGCATGGAATTATCAGTTGCACCTAAACATGGCTCCTTTTGGTTACTGCTTAACCTGGCAGAAGCTAAAAGGCCTAATTGCTCACATGTAAATTACATTTTAAAGCACACAAGAAAGGCATATGCACAAGAACTTTCTATAAATGTTGGTATAAAGTTCTAATGGATGGTTGATTTGCACAAACAAGAGTGAAAGGCCCGTAAAACAGCAAAACAAATATCAAAGGAATTTGCTTTTACTGTTAGATTTGACATTGTTACCTACATGCATGTGCTTGATGATGCACTGGAGTGGACAAAGTTCATGTTTGGAATGAGATCGAGCCCGTTGTTAGGTAGTCCCAAAGCTGCGCATGCCCAGTTGTTTCTCTCCCATCACCTAATGAATATTTAAGCATATTCCGCGTGCAGCGTTGTTTGATTGGACCTTCTGGCTCCGTTTCCTGTGTTGTGTTTTTAGAGCCGAGTTCTGAGGACTCTGCTCCCTCCGTAAAGTACTGCAGCTCTGTGTTTGAGATCACTGCTCCGCCGCTGTCAGCGTAGGACTCTGATCTGTCTGCACAATGGACGGAGGACACTGCTGAGGATCCCTGCATCCATGCTTTCTGGAGTTTATCGGGAATATCTTCTTTTGACTTGGATTTTGTCCTCTGGCTTTAGGTCGAACAATTAGAGAGTTGTTGTTTTTTTGATACAGTGTGAATTTCAAGGAGGTTTGTAACGTCACTGGATCGCGGAGAATACGACAGAGAAGACTGCGATTGTTGTACTGAAGGCAGAGGATGGTGAGTTATATTTACACTGGCTCATATTTTAAGATAAGATAATCCTTTAGTAGTTCCACAGCGGTGACAATTGCAATTTAATGTTTTTTAACAGTATTTTATACAGTAGGCTACTGTACACTACTTTTATACAGTATCAAGAACACGTGCCATAATAGAAGTATCAATAAAACGTGTTATTGATACTTCTATTATGGCACAGTTGCTATAAAGAAACAGACGTGTAATCGATATATAGTCAATTTATTGTGTACCAAAAATTAAAGGTGTTTTAAAATAATGTCGGTTCTGTCATGGTTATCTCTTCACACTTTATCCATTAACCAAATCAAAAATGATAACCAACTCCAGTTTCTGTTACTTTACTTGACAAATTGCTTTATTGTTGTTGTGAGAAAAGCTATATAGGTGTCATTTGTTGGTATTTCTTTAATTATTTATGGTACATTGTTTAGTCCCATTTTGATCATCAATCCACAATCAGTAAAAGTCGCCTCTGTCTGTCTTTGACTGTTTCCTCCTCTGTCTTCACCCTGACAGTCTCTCTGACTGCCATAGACTTTGTATAGGCTACAGTGAAAGTAATTAGACAGCACTGACCCACAGCGGGATAGTTCCACCTGTGTGAGTGACACCCAGAGAGGATGCAATGTCACAAACATTTGTCATTAGGTGCAGCCTTTTCTTTAAAACTGGTTAGTCATGGAAGGAGAGGCAGCTGTGGAGCATGTGTCAGGTGGAGTGTGTGTATTGCATGTGTGCAGCATTGTTGTTGTCTGTGTGTGTCGGACAGGTTTTTCCTGGTTACTGAATGCCATCCCTGGAGCAGACACACCTAGAGCCAAGTTATGGAGGAGGTCATGTGGCCTAGTTGTTGTGGTTTGGCAACAATTCCTCAAGCTACAGTCTTCTGAAGCATAATTCCCACTTTGGCTGATGAACATAATAATACAGCTGTGATGCAGCTTTTTAGCGATTATTAATGTCTTTGACAGTATGGCTGCTTCTTTGTTATTGGATCACATTGGATCACCTTTAACCAAACATATACGTTTGTTTTGGGCTTAAATTTGCCTTCAGGAATATAGAAACATTTGTTTGTGTCTTAGCTGGCATCATTGCAGCTTCATGCTTTGTTCACATGCACGCACACAATGT